CCCACTTTGAGCACCACTGTTCATTATGATTTAAATGTTGTTGTGATGGAAAAATACTCACCAGTTTAACATCTACTTATAAAAGTTGCAGTAAAACTAACTCTTAAATTAAATGTTCACAGATACTTCATCTATTTTCATTTATTTTAACGGATACACACAAAAGGTGACAAACAAGAGGACAAATATGTACAAAGACAGAAGGATATAGGATAAAAATGGTCACCTGGAAACATGAGGAAAAGCTGTTTATTTATTTCCTGAGTGGAATGAAGTTTGATTGTAAAATGCAGAAATTAAAACTAAAGTAAGTAAATAAATACATGAATAAGAAGCAGGAACAGTTAAATCACAGCTTACGATCACCGGTACTGTAACCGTGTGCACACACAGCCTCAGAACAGGCTTTTGTTTCATGTCTGTGGGGTTGTGAATGAAGCGGTGCGTCGGATCAGATGACCTGTGCTGTCACTGCTCACCTGGGGAATGCAGATGGTATCAGCAGGCAGCAGCGCCCATTCTACACATTCCTACTGTCGCAGTGACGAAACAGCGTTTTCTGTTTCAGCCTCTTCTTACAGCTCTGCTTTTCCCACACACACACACACATGTACAACAATCCACTGAGGAATGTTAGCTTATTACTGGTATGTTAAGGCAACCGGGTCGTGGTTGTGTTTCCATCTCAACTTGTGAGACTGTGCAGCTCATTGTGTGTTTTTTCCTGTCATCTGTAAATGCATAAAGTTCCCAGGTTGAGCGTGTCGTGACCTGTCCCTACTCTGTTTTGGATTTCTTACAGGTGCGGGGACAAATCAGGCATTTTCAAATAGCGTTGCGGCTGAGTCACCTTTTTCTTTCCCAGCGCTTGGTGACAGGAAAGAGCGGGTACGAACATGCAGCCGTGATGCGGAGAGGCGTGGTGAAGGCAGCAGAGGCGGATCACAGGGGATGTTTTGAATGCTGCATCACCAGCTCACCTCAGCTAATGACTGCGTGGGTTGTCCGAGCCGGTGTCTTGTGCCTTCTTTCCCGTACAGCAGCAGAGGTGTGAGGGGACCTGTGAGGACATGAATCTGTACAGGAGCTTTGGGAACCTCATGGAGGCTTGGTTAACTGAAGGAAACCCACCGTGTCCTGACTCGGAGTGGCTTGGACATAATGCCGAAGACTGCCTCACACCTCAGCCTGAAAACCTGCGCTCAGAATCGGTGGACTCGGGAGTGGAGACGGCCAGCTGCGACATGTCTTCTCCTGCTGCATCAGCGGACAACGCGGACATGGATTTGTTTACGCCTCGACTCACCCCGGCATCCACATCCCAGTCCCCCGTCCTCCTCTCTCCCGTGCCGTCCTCTTCCTCCTCTTCGTCTCCTCACCTGGGTCTCGGCAGAGCCGAGAAAAGTCCCGCCGCCGCCGTCTTGCACTCGAAATTGGAGCAAGCGCTGCAGAGGACTGACTCCAAGCAGCTGAAAGACAACCAGAAAGCCCCGACAGTGGAGGAGGTGCTCGGTCGACGGCCTCGGGCGTCTTTCCTGCCCAAACGGCACACATCGGAGTTGGTGAGAGGTCAGAGGTCAGGGAGCTTCGGCCCGAGGCGGACGGTCAACACATCTGTTCCCGTCAGGCAGATGTCCGACGTGTGCAGGCGGCCGCTGTCTGCTCTGAGTTACGACAAGCCGAGATCAGAGGTGAGATGTTCTTTAAGCGGCGAACAAAACGTCTAAGCACTGAGGATCTTTGAAGGAGGAGATCGAAACGTTTAAACACGGCGTCTAATTTCTGTTTGTGTCTCTTATCCGGGACCAGTTTCAGGTTAGTTAGTCACACTTACATGTACGGTCTTGCACAGCGTGGCGTTCTGAACGTTAGAGGAAAGCCTGACGTCTACCGAGGCCTCTACTTTTACTTCAGTTAAAGGCTTGCGACACTCTTTAACTAACTCGCTAAGCTGCTTTCAAATTTAAAGTAAGACAGGCATGCCATTACTCACGCAGGATCTCTTTCATGCGGCGGATCAGAAACCAGTCTGCCCAGCTGTCAGGCACGAGAAGAATGGATGGAGACGTGTGTGTGGCGAGGTTTAGCAGTCTGCGGGTTTTTGATAAAAATCGCAGACGGTGTCGTGAAGCAGACGCCAGAAACAAAGAGTCTGTCTTGGTTTGACCATCGAAGCGAGAGAACGTTGCATACATTCCTCTTCACTCTCACAGAGGTGTTAAAACAACTGGATTAAGTCTACATTTAGAATTTAATTAATCTAGAATCTGTTTTTTTTTAAATCCTTGGGTGTGTGTGCGATGTATATTTCTTTGTATTCTTTTGGCCGAAGTTAAAAAGGTCTGATTGAACACAGGCATAATTGCCCAATTAAAGAGGCTACTTACATTTAATTACATTTAATTACACTTTGATTATTCAGCCCAACTTAAATGAATGTGGACCTGCATTGAAAACAGCAACAGTCAGCCAGACAAATCTGGATATTCAGACTGAACAGGTTCAGATTTGTGTTGTTCAATTCAAGGTTTATGAGAAGGAAACACTTTATGCAGCTTTGATGTTGTCATCATGCTCTGATATAACCAATAACTGCTCCATTATATCTACTCTTATATAACTAAGTGCTAATGTTAGCTTGCTATCGAGATAATGTGTTGATTTTGCAGGTATAATCACTGTTAACACGTGCTAATTAGCTGTGGACACTAAGGCTGAGTCTTTTTAGTTTTTTTGGTATTTAGTCAGAAAGCAAAGTGAAATTTGGCCCCGATAAAAAGTCAGAGGATCACTATAATCAATAATCAGCACTAGGCCTTTGACGAACTCGTCAGTTTGTGGCGGCATCAGACAAAAAACATGGATCAACGCTGTTATTAGGTTTCATTCTCTGGCAACCACGAACGCCTGTGAAGAACTTCTTGGCAGTTTATTGTACAATACAGCTTTGATGTTGTCATCATGCTCTGATATAACCAATAACTGCCTCATTATATCCACTCTTATACAACGAAGCGCTAATGTTAGCTTGTTACCGAGATAATGTGTTGATTTTGCAGGTATAATCAACAACAATTTCCCTGAGGTTTCCACCACAGGGATCAATAAAGTTCTATTCTATTCTAATCACTGTTAGCATGCTAACATGTGCTAATTAGCTGTGAACACTAAGGTTGAGTCTGGTGGGAATTTTGTTAGTTTTTTAGGTATTTAGTCAGAAAGCAAAGTGAAATTTGACCCCGATGAAAAGTCAGAGGATCACCATAATCAGAATCAACACTAGGCCTTTAACGAACTTGGCAGTTTGTGGTGGCATCAGATGAAAAAATGATCAACGCTGTTTTTAGGTTTCATTCTCTGGGAACCACGAATGTCTGTGAATTTAATTTATTTGCTAGTTGTTGAGATTTTCAGCATCAACCAAAAGCTGGAGCAGCAGATCTCAGTCATGCTGCTAATGTGGCTAAAATGACATCACATATGTCTTTCTATTATAAAACTATAACAGAGTGCAAAACATCAGAGTAGTTTACTTAATGGACATGTGGCAGTTTAACCAATTTCTGTTTAACTAAACGTGAACATTTTCAGGTCCTGTTAGAACTTAAAAACACAACTTTTCATAACTTGACTTTTGATTTAAAACGGTGAGTTGAATGAATGAACCACTGAGAGTTCAATCGACTCTTAAATTAGAATACGTGTAGAAGAAACAACACTAGAAGATGATAAACAGACTTCTGAGACACTGAACCCGAAGTTGCTCCCAATGGCAGGCTAGCACCTTGCATGGCAGCTCTGTCGCCATTGGTGTATGAATGTGTGTGTGAATGGGTGAATGAGAAACATTGTAAAGCGCTTTGAGTGCCGCAAAGGTAGAAAAGCGCTATATAAGTGCAGACCATTTACTTCTCAGGATGCATCGTTAGATTGTTTAAACTCTCATCGTCATGTCAAAGGTTCATTTTAAGTTCAGTGTCTATAAGCAGGAACAGCCTCACAGATTTTCTTTGTGCTGACTCGGGTCAAAAATGGCTTCAGCATCTATAAGTTCTCAGTTTTCTGTGACGAGTTGATTCAATTCAGTATCTTGATTTTTTCTTTAACGTGTTGTCTGAGGTGATGTTTATTTAACTCAGCTAGTTTTACACTCCCACAGCTCTTAACTTTAAACTAATTAACAATCCAAAGCGCGGTTGCCTCACAGTGTTACAGCAACAGAGGAACCTGTTGTGTTTCTAAGTTGAGTGATTGAGAGGATTGTGTGCGTGTTAGGTTGACTAACATACCCTCACTGATCTGTGCAGGGCCTCGGTGGGCAGGACGGGACAGAACTGAGTCCTGGACTCAACTACCTGGAGCAGGTTTGCCAAATGCTGGAAGAAATCGCCAGACAACAGATGCACAGCCGAGCGTTGCAGACAGAGATGGATGCCCTGTGCGAGGATCAGGACACGCAAGTGAGTGAGACAATGACATTCATGTTTGACATCTTCAGAAGGCACTTAAGAATCTGACACAGTTCTGATGGTTCAGAAACGTGACACCGGCTTGTTAAACTGCTGATGACAGGATGGTATCTCGCAGCCTGAGGACTCGTATGAATTTAACACTGTCCTCATCACCTGATTTCCTTGAAGGCTGCCGACGCCTGTCAGAGCGACTCTACGGCTGCTGAGGAGGACCTCGCTTCATGTCAGAGGCTTGAACACACTGAAAACAGAGAGCAGAGTTCCAGCGAACCACAGCGGCGGAGAGCTTTTCCCTACGGACATTTTCGCCAGAGATCGGCCTCTGACACGACTCTGGCAGCGTTGCATCTGAGTGAGTCATCTGTCACCTGCTTCTTTCCCAATTTCCTTTCGTGGTGATGTTACTGTGCAGATATTCTTATATGGAAATGGATGGCTGGTGTGAAATACCTTCATCTGTGCTCATAAATTATTATGTGTGTGCTGGTTGCAGGGAGGCTGAGAGAGGACTGCAGGGGGCAGCATCTGAGTTCTGATGACCTGCTGGAGGAGGAAGAGGAGAATTATGAAACCCAGGTACAACACATACAACATTTGTTCTTAAACAACCAACACAATCAATATAACGGCTACACAATGCATACATGGGGTTATATATATATTGTGAGATTTTGTTAATCATATGTTGGGCCAAAAATATCCGAATCTGTTCAGGACTCTACGAAGAAGGAGACGAGCAAAAGCCACAAGACCTGGAGGTTAAAATTTGGGTCTTTGAGAGGAGAGGAGTCTGCTGACACAAAGGGGTGAGTATTTATAACTGTAACCTCTAAGGGGGCATTGCTTTTAATCTAATATGATGCCTGACGATGCTCTGAGCGAACGTGTGAGCCGCACCGACATGGCAGCCGGCCACGCAGCGGTCCACAGCTGATGCACAGTCGATGGAGAGGCTTCGGTTCACTTTCAGCCTCTCGCATCTGCTCATCTCGAACATTTTGTCCTCTTTTTTTTTTTTAGGGTGAAACTTAGCTCATGCGCTCATGCCTCCGGTTTTCCACAATGTCTTGTTTCTTCTGTGCCTGATGAATTTTTTATCTATAAAGCCAACAGATGCAGTCATCTGAGAAAAACTCGGCCCGACGACGCCTCAGCCAGCTGTTCAGGAGGAGGAGGAAAACTGTGCCCGTGTGAAACGGACCGCCGTTTCAACATTTTGGTTTCGGTGAGCACCGAAGCTTGCTTTCAAAATGACTTCCTATTGAGGCCGTGATGCAGCAGTTTGCTCTGCTTATTTATTACAACATGTATACTTGATTTTTTTAAGGATTCGTACCGACAAGTGGAGTCATTTTCTATAAAATTGTGACCTGGAACGAAATGCAGAGCTGGTTTCGTTGTCATAATGTACAGTTTATATCAATTCAAGTTGGGCTTTTTGTGTCAGATTTGCAGATTTGTAAATAAGAAATGTAAAATAATAGAATGTAAATATAAGTACTTTTTGTAAAAATGGTGTTTTGTCTTATTGTAACTCTGCACTCAGACTTTCTAATGGCATTCTGTCTAATATCAAATCATGTTTTTACCCTAAAAGCCTTAAATGTGTTCTAATGAGTGATGCAACTAGTGTTTATTGCTTTTAATTTATTATTTTAGTCTATCAAATGTCAGAAAATATATTTTTTAGACACTAGAGTCCTTCATTATTTAGTATGTTTTGCTATTTAAATAACTTTTATGTAAAAAATTAAATAAAATCAGTTTTTGATGTTTAATTAAATCAATAGAAAAAAGCTAACTAGGTCAGATTTAAGTTATTTTCATAGGTTAAATTAAGTTTTGTAAGGTGTAAAAATCCCTTAAAAAATAAACATAAATCAATAACATCCATAAAAACAACCCCTGTGCAAAATAATATTAATTTCTAGCATCAAATCCAATTTATGATTTTCATTGGAGCTGCAAAAAAAAACAACAAATCGGCACAAAATACAGTAAGAAATAGCATTCATTATTTGGTCATTTTGGCATTTTAGCTCCAAAACTTCCCTTTAATCAATAAAAAAACAATTAAAAAAAACCTCAATCTTAAAACTGGCTTTTTGAGTTACATCAGCCAAACAATCACGGTCGGTTTCTGCAGCCAAGATAACAAGCGCAGGCCACACAGAGGTACTTTTTCGCATTTATTTAATCTTTATTCACCTAGTTTGGGGGGGGATAGACCTCCCCTGGCATTCCCATGTAAAGAGATGTCAATGACAAACACGTCCAACCAAACGAGAGAGGGTGAATAGGATTTCCAGTCCATACATAAAATACATTTATTTACTATTTATCGAACCACCAGCATCCATTAGTCCCACACAGCGTCCGTCTGTGCTATTAAATATATAGAGATAACATCTATGGAGGGATTTATTTACTGTATGTGTGAGAGAAGGGGGGGTTGGCAGAGAGGGTAGAGCTTATAGACGTAGAGTGGTGGTGGCGGCGGCGGTGGCGGAGGTGGTGGTGGTGGGGAGCAGCGTCGAGTCATGCCTGCAGTGGCCCCCCTTGTCTACATGATGCCACAGGAGGACAAGGGGTTGGCGATCTGGCAGGTGCAGGCTGACTGGCAGTATTGACGCACAGTCTGGTAGCAGCTGCGGTCGGCGTCCCCGCCCCACTGCACGGGCCCGTTGGGGTCGGAGGGCAAGCGGCTCAGGATGCTGGTGTTGATGGCCAGAGCAGCCAGGCCATAGTCAGTGAACAGCACTGTCTCGCGCCGGCACGTGGGGCAGGAGATGAACTTGTACTTGGGACAGGACTCGTAGAGGATCTGCAGGCATTCCTCGCACACCGAGTGCAGGCAGGAGAGGATGCGCGGACGCTTGCCGGCGAAGTTGTAGGTGTGGCCGCAGGTGGGGCAGTCCAGGGGCTCGCAGGGCATGACGGGCCCCGTGGAGGACGAGGACGAAGTGGACGAGGAGGTGGAGGAGGAGCGCAGCACGTACTGGTTGACTATGACGTCCTCCATCTTGTAGTGGAACTGGTGGTAGCAGATTTCGTTGGCACTGGTTTTGCGCTGCGCCAGGAAGCTCTGCTCCCTGCGAGTCATCGGGGCCGGCGGCGACACCATGGGCCTGGGGGAGCCGGTGATGTCCAGCGTCAGGTCGCTGCAGGCCTGGTTGACGATGATCTCGCCCTCGCCTCCGCCGTCCCACGCCACCCTGGGGGGCGGGGCATAGCGCGGCTGGGTGACGGGCACGGGGCACTCTCTGGGGAACTTCTCCGACTGGATGATCTTGACGGTGTCCATGGGGATGGTGACGGGCTGACGCCTGAGGCAGGACATTCGCACGTTTTTGGAGGCGGAAGAGAGAGAGGGGCTGCGGCTCTGATCAGACACCCCTGCCTGGTTCTGCACGAGGGGAAAAAGATTGGACTCTTTCGCTGAAGTCAGCCATTGGAGGGAACATGGGGACGGATGGTTGCCTCCATGTTTCCCTCAAGAGATCCCCCCTGGCGGGCGCTGCTGTCAGCCTGAGTCTTTATGTGGACGAGACAGATAGAGGAGCTCAGCCAGAGCACCGCAGTATGCAGCTCTTATTCTGTCGCAGCTAATGCGAACAGATGGTTTAACAGTCCAGCTTACAATTCCTGACCAGTGTTGACTACTTAAAGGTAGTTTTTTTGTTGTTTTAACTCACGTATGCTGATGTTTTCTGTGCTGTCTTCGATGGCTATTTGCTGAAATGTATATTGACACACGATGGCTGTTACTTGAGCACAAAGATATGTTCTCACTCAGTGATAACACCAATAGTTAATCTCATATGCACACAGACGCTCACATATATACATACAGTACAGGTTGGTGGGTTTCTGCATTCACAGAGCGGGTAGGTCGATTACAGGCAGTTCAGAAAAGGTCCAGGAGGTATTGTCTGAAACTATATCCTGTGGCCTGCTGGGGGGGAAACTCTTCCCTTCGCAAACGAGACTTTAAATGTGTTTCTCGCTCAAGCTTAACTTCCTGTTTTTGGCTGCGGGCGTGTGACACATTGACTTGAGTTCGTGAGAAAGAAAGAATGAGCTTCAGTCTTTCTCTCTCTTGCTCTTGGTCCGGTGTGGTCAGGTGACCCTGTGAGACCCTCTCAGTGGCTTGTTGATAAGGAGGGAGGAGGTCCTTTTTTTTTTTATGACGCTGCAGGAATGACTCCTTCAAACTCCAAGGCTCCTGAATTCCTCAGAGGTGGGAGTAAGTTTGTATTTGGACTTTCAGACGGTCTTCCCAAAGCGAGCAGGAAGGGTGATAACAGTTAGGACGCCTCTGTGCTTGTCTGCCTTCTTCTCAGATCCATGACACGTTTCCTGATTCCTTTGGTCCATCTACCTGTAAAAACAGAAACCAGACACACAAAAGAGGTTGAGTCTTATTTTTAGAACAGCGCACAAGCTTCTATTATGATTTGAAGCGTTAGTTCGACCCTTTTAAACTGTGGCTTCGAAATGGTATATTTCTGTGTGTGACTGAAATCACTCAGCCCTTAGTGTACGAAGATCACTCTTGAAAAAAAAAAAAAAAGGTTTGTCCTATTTCTTTTTCCATCTTGGCTTCGGTTCAGGTGTGTCTCCTCAAAGAATAAGAAAATTATCACCTTGCCGTTCGCTCGAGGGCACAGAGCACAGAGCACGCCTTCCTTTTGGCGAAACACAATCAGTGTACCAACAAAACGTGAAGATGAAGTTCACATGTAGAGTCACAACAGGCACAAACACAGCAGAGTTCATCCTGAGCCGGGACAAGATTACGTCGATTAGTCTGATTCTTTAAAGCAAATTCTGTTAATGAAAGAGCAGCAAAACAACTTAAAAGGAAACCGAACTACTGAGTTACTAAACAGGTGTTGGTCAGTTTTCTGCCAGTTACTTATTAAAGTCACTATTACAGTTAGGTACAACCCAATACAACTGTTCTGTTTACGATACCTTTAAAGTTAAAGTGTTACTGGCGCTGGTACATGATTACTAAGGTCATATTTAATGGTTTTTCTAATGTACTTCCTTCTTAGGACAAAAACATAGATAAAATCTATTAAAACTATGACCTCAGTAATAAACAAACTATTTAATTTACACATTTGTGTCAATTTTACCAAAAACTGACCATTATAAGCTTGATAAAGATCGACGAGCTGCTGTATTGGATTGCGTTAGATTGTACAAGTGAGCCTAATAAAGTGGTAGCAGAATATATAATAGATGTCTTACAGTCCCTTTTTTAATACGTTTGAGCTTCTGTCATTCTGTAAATGCATATATTCTAATTAAAACGTGGCCTTGGCGTGCAGATTTGTTCCATTCAGCGTAGCAGAATTAGCTAGTGATGCCCAGAATCATTAAAATAGACAGAAGCCAAGCCGAGATTGTAGAAATACTACGGTTGTGTTTACCGCCCCATCGCTAGCGTAGCTACGTTTGAAAAGATATCTTAAACTTTTATTTATTTCAGCTGTATATATGAATCTGTTAAAGCTAATAGAACCATTTTGAGCCATTTAAAGACCTCTTTGGTTGTGTAACTGTAAGTCAGAAAAGATTAACTGTGCTGTTAAAAAAGCAGCACATGTGATCATAAAAAAAGTCGCAGCTTGCCACACCGTGTGGTCGGAGCAGGTGATTGTGACACGGTTGCGTTACTGCTCTTGTCATTCTTCCTACTTCCTGACGACGCTCAGTCATCTCGCGGGCTGCGTCGGTTCGACCGTGTCGTTGCGTGGGAACGATCTGCATGCAGGGCTTGTGTCATGCTGCGTGTGTGTGGGCCCTATGAAAAAGAACAAGTGTATGGATGGATGATTTTAGCCCGACCAAAACAATAGCTGCCAAATAGCAGAAGAGGGAGGATGACACATCGTTCATTCTGTGCACGGCTGTCAACAGTGATGATTCATTAGAGAAGGGAAAGAAAAAAAAAACACACTGAGCAGAGGAGGTGACCTACATGCGAGGAAGAAAGAGAAAGAGAGGGAGAGAGAGAAAAGAGAGAGGAGAGAAGGGAGCACAGCACAGGTCCCGGTTTCTATTTATGGTTTGTTTATCTGAGCACTTCTCTGTGGTTTCCTGCCCCCAACCTTTGCCGAAGATTCACACCGACTGAGAAAGATGCAGCCAACAGGCGGAAGCGCTGTAGCCCATTACGTTCACGTGATGCGCTGAGCCGCGCTGGTGCAAACACGCCGGCGTTTGTTTCTCCCATTTATCCTTTTCCCTGTTAATCTGTTGACACTCCGACACACTAGAGCTGTGAGCCAAAATCCCTCTCAATCACACCAATCTCTAACACAATCTCACCAAATGTGTCTCTGCAGCGCGGCAACACTTCGCCCAAAATAGCCTCTGTTTCTTTCTCATGCACGCACGGGCGTTCATGCACATTTCATAAGGCTGGAGGTCAGCATGAAGAAATGAAGACGGGACATTAGTGTGGTTAAAATATCTTGATTTTGATTTGTTTGGCTTTCTGAAGATCAGCCATCAACATTTGTATGATTGTTGGTATTAGTATGATATATTTTTTTATACTTTGGCTATGATTCAGCCGCCTCTTTCTACTCCTATGTGGGCTTGAACATCCTCCACATGACTGTCTGAATGGTTTTACGTCATGTGTAGCATCCCATCAACAATGAAAGATAAATGTCAAAAAGTTCTCCTTTTTGTTTGCGTTAATCGAGATTTTCGCTTCAGCTGCAAATGTTGTGGTTGATCTTCAGTCCCATTGATGACTAATAACCCACATGAGCCCTGGAAAAAACACATCATTCGACCCCTGGTGTGTGAATGCAACAGAAATAAATCATGAATGTACATGAAACAGCCAAACAAGTACAGATATTACTCACAGGATGGAAATAGTCCAGGTGACGTAGTTTTGTGTCAAATGGTTAAACTGATATCAGAATATTATTGAATGTTGTTATCAAATGGAATTTATTTTTGTTTTCTGAGGGTTTCAATATCATAATACAGTCATAAGTCAGAGTTTGGTCGATTTCTTTGTCTTGTTTACTTATTTTTTAAACCTGAAAATGACTGATTTGAGCGAAACTGTGTCTTAGTTAAGTAACTGCTGCTTGGTTTAGGGCCTGAATTGTGAATTTAATAAAAGAAAACTATGTGTGCTAGTGCTAGAGCCAAAACATATAAAGATATATCTGCACATATGGGTCAATAAAATGACAAGAAATCAGATTTAAGAAATCTAATGGTGAACATTTTACATAACACTGGATTGTTATATAGCTTTCTAAAAAACGCCCAAACATCCCGTATCAGCTGGGCTCAAATAATTATCTGACGGATCTGGCATGTCTAGACTCCTTTAGTGGATATAAACAGCTTGTAAAGAAGGACTCTGCCTGATAATGGCAAAGGTCGAGTTGATAAAGCATCTAGGCTGCACGAGGATCCTTTGAGCCTCGGGGAGATGAAGCAGCTAAAATTACCCTCTAATTTGGTGACAGTGCTATGAAAAGGGCTGATAACTGATGCGGGCTGCCTGCTGATGGGCCAGCTTTGGCGCAGCCTCCTCCTAATCGACGGAGCCCTCTCCGGTTATGTAAGGAGCTCATCTTCCACCCAGCCACCATATTAACACAGTGTAAACTGCTGCAGCTCTCCACTGTCTTGACATTGCATTTGTGTGTGTGTGTGTGTGTGTGTGTGTGTGTGTGTGCGTGTGTGCGTGCAGCCCCGCATGCTTTTCCTGCAGAGGAATTATTACACTAATGAAATCATGGCAGGCATTTGACCTCATCATCACAAGCAAGAGGAGGAAGAGGAGCGCTGACCACAGAGATGTCAGAGGAGTCTGCCTCAGCAGCGAATTCCTCATACCATTAAACACACACACAGGGCTGCATTCACATTTTAGAGGCACACGCACACATCCTAGAACATTCTCACCCTCCGACGACTCCCTATCACGTACAGGGCAACACCCTTAACATTCCTGCAGACTCGCAAACAAACCGATAAGGGGCCGACAGGAGCCGCTAAAATGAATATTTTTAAAACGCGTCTGCTAGATCGCCTGATTAAAACTGACACGGACAAAAAACCTGAAAAGAGAGAAGGCAGGCGGCGTAGATGCGCACACTTTGAACATTCCTGTCATATCGCACTCTGCTCACACCGTGTTCCTGGGTGTATTTCACACGGCGCGGGTCCTCGTGAACGCTGTGGATAGATTCCACCTGTGCAGATCGGAGTGCAGGAGAAGGGCACCATGTTCTGAATGAGTCATAGAGACGGTGCGCATCCGTCTGTCTGTCTGTCTGCCTGCCCGCCTGTCTACATCCGTCTGTCTCCCCCCCATTCATCCATCCATCTATCTATCTATCTATCTATACATTACCCTGGACTGAACACAGGGTCCGGGTCTGTGTGCCCCCCAACGCCACATACCAGCAGTATGTCAGGTATGCCAGCTATGTTGAGATTTGCATCCACATTCGTAGCTCGGCTGGTAAAAACACATCGACACATCTGTGCTGAATATTATGTTGTATTTTCATTACGTAACGTGCTGTGACCTTAGCGGGATCTGAGGACAAATCCCCCAGATTTACTGTATGTTTACTGGTTGCAGCTTTTCTCTGCAGATCCTGGAGTTTGCAGGGATTGAATGAAAATAATGTAAATGCAGGAGGGCTTGTTGTGTGGCAGATTTTACGACTTAGAAAGAAAAGCGAGTGGATGCAACTGTGTGTTTTGCTTGTTTGCTGTGTTCCAGGTGTGTATATATGTGTTACAGCCGTGATATGTAAAGCCTTAACATGTTGTGCTTTTCAATGCAAAAACATGTTTTCTTCATGAATGGGTTGCTGTAACTGCCAGTATTTAAATGCATCTAGATATTATTCCCAGGATTTAAATCCACATACGATGCTCGCGTCCATCCATCTGTCACAATTACAGTGAACTGCGTAAGTGCAGTCGGATGTTGGTGTTTTTGCTTGGGCAGAAAGTGCTCGGTGCGTGCGTGGCGAGGTGTTGTTTTTAATAATTCAGCCCCGCTGTCATTCATGGCAGACATCGGCCATTTTGCCTCGCAATTCATTACAGCCAAGTGCTCTTTGTTCTCGTGTACGTAGCTCCCACAGCAACATGGCAGAGCTGCACACAGGCAGAAAAACATAAAGCAATCATCGCTCCACCTGACACAGACCTCATGGAAGATTTATGAAGCAAAAAGCTTCTGCAAGTGCCCACCTCTTCAATAACAACCGTATTGATTAAGGCCATGGATTTTTTTTCTTTTAAAGAGGCTGCCTCCGCGCTGGTTGAAGGCGGACAGCAGCGATGATGCTCGAGAGCCGCTCGTATTCGAGATGGGACTGAGGTGGCCAAAATATTTGGACAGTGTGAGATGGAGTCAGTGTGCTGCTTCGCCTGTGGGAGGGGTGCGTTCGGGAGCAGCAGTTATGCAATCGCAGCATGGAGCGCTCTCACTGCAGCGCCAATGTATGGCCAATATGGAGATGCTTTAGTGTTTGCTGACAACTACAGAACAGGCCGTTCCTGCCCCGTCCCTTTTACCCCCCCTCCCTGCCCGCCACCCCTCGCCCTCCCTCCTCCACCTGCCCCCGCTGTCTGTCTGTGCAGAGGTCTGTCAAATGTCACGGCGGCTGGAGACAGGAAACCCTCAAGATAGCATCTGCACCCAAACCGCTCTATTCACAGTTTCCAACCACTGTTTATGGTCGGTGCAGATAAGCAGGTGCGCAGGTGTGTGTGTGTGTGTGTCTGTGGGCGTACATGTGTGTCTCCATTCATGCAGCTGTGTGCGCGTCTGTGTGTGTGTGTGTGTGTGTGTGTGTGTACATGTCTGCAAAATGGACGGCTATGATGCAACCACCATGCAAATCCCAGCTTAACGTAACAAAGCATACGGCAACCTCTGCCTGTGTCATGCTTGCACATAGAGACACACACAGAAAAGAGCATCGGCGTAGATGAGCCACACCTCACACATCGCAAACAGACAGATTCAAAGACACAGAAAACACCACAAAACAGATAAAAAAGCCTCATCTCATCCTCACCTGTCCGCCTTCACGTCTCGTTCCCGTCCTTCCTGGGTTGATGCCTCGCTGCTCTGTGATGATAAACCAAGCTGCTTTGTCCAGAGGCGGGGACGGGGATGGGGACGCTCTCTCCTCTCCTGTTTTATTCTACAAGGATGAACAACGAGCTGCAGCGAGGGGAGGAAAAGATGGAGGAGATGTAAGATGGAGGATCATGTCTCAGGCTGTTCTCATCGACCTCCGCATCCCTCCTCTCCTCCTCTGGTACCTTTGTCCTTCACTCCGCCAGCCCTTCTCCTCCGAGCTGTGGCTGACCGTCTCCCTCCGGTATCTCTTTCTCCATCCCCTGTTTTTCCTTCTTCTTTCAGATTTTTTTTTTTTTTTTTTACAGCTTATTCTCTGGTGAGCTTCTGTGCTGAGTGCTCCTTCTCCTTCTCTTCAGGTAAAACCCTCTCTCCTTCTTCTTGTTCCTTCTGTTAGCTCTCCTCTTGACTCAGCTGCCGTTCATTACTGCTCTTTCTGCTCCTCCGTCTGCTCCAGTCAGTGCATCATCTCTCAGTCACACATGCGCAGTGTTTTCACACATACATGCACACACACTCACTCACACACACTCGTCCTCTCTCTGTGTCTCTGTGCTTCTGGCTGCCTCCTTATGCATGTGGTTGGTTTTGCCTGCCCACCCCCTCCCCTCTCTCTCTCTCTCTCTCTCTCTCTCTCCCTCACTCACTCACACTCTGCCTCTCTCGCTCTGTCGTTCGCCCTCTCTCGCTGCAGCACACACTGCAGTGCCTCTGCAGGCAGGATCACGTTTTCCCGTTGCCAGAGAAAATATTTCAGCCAATGAGGAGCGTTGACAATACTCCCCACCACCACCACATCTAAACATACATATGCACATTTGCACACAGCCTCCTGAGAAACCAAAAGCCATCAGTCATGCTTTATGTGCACAGGCTCACACATATGGTACCGGCCAGGCGCACAGGAAGTACAGGAAGCCGGTGTAAACAGAGCCAATACACAGAGAGCAGCGCATCTGACATGAGCATAAATTCACTCGCAAATTAAGTTTGTGTTAAGCTGCCGACTGGAAGCTCTGGAGAAGCTTCATCACAGACCACATGCGAGTCATGTTTGAGCAGAGCCTCGGTGCAGCAGAAAGGTGTCATTTGTATTAACTCCTCATTAAGACATTGAAAAAATAAATAAAAAAATGACTGCCTAGTTTCTATAAAGTCCCAACATCCTAATCTCCCACAACACAAGCAGTGATGTTGCGTAACGAGGATTTTTAATAAGTTCTGGTTCTGCTCAAGCTTTCGTGCTGACCAATAAATAATCCTCAGATCAAAGTGGGAAAAAAAAAAAAACACGACGTGAATTTTAAATCAATGTGAGAGGGATGTGCTTACATAATGTGGCCATCAAATGCATAATGTAATGAGCTCCACTGGAGGCGAGGACAAACTGTGAACACCAAACAGCTCTTGTTTGGACGAGTTTTAAGCAGCAAGTTTGAGGAAGAGTCGCAACATAACACAACACTGCTGCAACACAGGTTGCTCAAACTTCGGTTTCTGTCATTTCTGTTGTCTGGCAGCATTTGTTTTAGACGACTTGATGTATAAATGACTGTCAAAATCATGTTAAATATGTCTCTAGAACTTGCAATATTCATGACCATTGCTGGGCAGTAATTACATCAACAACAGCTGTAGATTATTTATCATAGGTATTTACCTGAGTCGCTGTCTGTGAAGACTCTCAGTCCTCCAGCTTATTCTGGTCGATTAATCATAGCAACTGGACTTGTTTGAGTTCCTTGAAGACATTTCATCCAAGAGGATTCATCAGTTCTGACTGACCAGTTGGGAGTTCCAGATATCCTTAAGGACCCTTTAACACCTGAGTTTCGGTTTCAGTTGGGGGTTTGTTGGGGATTATGTCGTGTTGTCTGCATCTCAGGTTGAAATGTAAATGATTCTTGTAGTCTGCAAGTTTTCTGGAAGTTCTTTCGTACTCCTGCGCCAGAAGAAGGGCGTTCTACCCGAAGTCTGCAGCAACATGTCTGTGAAGATTCTCAGTCCTCCAAATTGTGGTTATTCTCGTAGATTAACAACTGGACTTGCTTGAGTTCGTTGAAGACCTTCCACCTCTCATCCAAGAGGCTTCATCAGTTCTGACTGACTAGTTGGGAGTTCCAGATACAAACCCCCAACTGAAACCTAAACTCAGGTGTTAATGGCTCCTTAAGGAAATCAGTATCTGGAACTCCCAAATACTCAGTCAGACCTGATGAAGCCTCTTGGATGAGACGTCTTCAAGGAACTCAAGCAAGTCCAGCTGCTACGAGAATACCTGAGTAGCTAAAAAATAAAGACTGTACAATGGTATTAAATATGCAAATGCACCTGAATATATTAAATATTAATGAAAATACCAACAATATTATATA